TTTTTATTTACAAGTACTGTTGTTATAAGATCACAGTTGAACTTCCTGATGTTTTCTGTGATGAGTTTCCTCACTGTTTTACATAGTTCAGTATATTTTATTTTTGATTTTGGATCACTTTGTCTTGAATTCTCAACATTTTTTCATCAATTCTCATGTTTTTTCTGTTAATTTCTTCACTGATTTTTGTTTTCCTCCAGTTATTTTTTTTGCAACTTCTTGTAAGGTTTTGGTTAGTTTTCTGTTCATTTCTGTAACATTTAGATCTTAAATACTATTACTCAAAATTTCTAAGTGGTTATTTATTTGTAATTAAAAATTATTTCGGTGTTCTTGCATACTTGCGATATTAATGGACTACTTTTTGATCTTAATAAGCTTTATCCTTTCAATTTTTGCATTCAATATCAGTTTGAATCTCACCATTCTGTGATCACTGCCTATATTGAAGTTGAGAACTTCACAGTTATGGATTACAAATTTCTTGTTTGATATGTTGTAGACAATTTCACTATTAGTTTCATTTTCACTTCTCCAAGTCCATTTCCTTTGTGGTTTCCTCTTAAAGAAGGAATTCATAATGTACAATTGTTCATATTATAAAAATCCAATAATTTCTCTTCCTCTTTCATTTCTTGTACCATAGTCATAGTTCCCAACCAAGCTTTCTCTGTCTTTCCATTCTTCAATTCTCACATTCAGGTCACTGATGATTATCCTATGATAATGATTTCGTTTCTGATCATCATTCTTATTTTCTCATAGAATCAATATCCTCATCAGAATAGTTAGTTGTTGGTGCATAAACTTGGATAATTTGTACTTTAGTTATCAAACTGTCAAGAGTATAATCTTGCTACTCTGATTAGCTGTCAAACTCAGTAATATAGGCTTTTCCACTTTTTGTGAATGAGAAAACCTACTCCACTAGTTTTACCATTACTTGTTCTGTTAAAGTAGAATACCTGTCTGCTATAGAGTTCAATTTTCTCTTTTTCTTTTCTTCTAGACTTCTGAGATATTCCAGTTAATTCTCTAGTTTTTCTAGCTCTTACAACCAAATTTCTGAAGATAAGGATTGTCTGTTGTATGTAGCCAAAGTCATTATCATATAGAAGCCTGGCCTAATCCCAGAGATTCTTAGCACCCTGTCTTCATGTCTCTCTGGTTGCTGCCATAGGGACAGTCTGATCACTGGGGACTGAGGGTCTTACATTTTTCAGAGAATTTGTGGATGAGGTTAGAGGGAAGTTGGCCATGACCCCCTCTATGCTGGCCAGTATGGGTTGGAGGAGCCTATTTGTGTTCGTTTGCCATGTACTAAACATGGTTAGTGTGAACCGCAGGGGAGGTCAGAGGTCTCCCGGTTTGCGTCATTAGTCAGGATGACAAGTCAGGCGAGAGTTTCTTGGGGTCGACGAGAAGGTGAAGGGCATTTACGAATAAAGGAGTCTACCATTTATAACAAATATAAAACAAGAATTTATTAAAATAAGCAAAATTGACAAAAAGACTACACAAATCTTGTTCTAAAGAAGCCTAACAGCTCGAGAGAGAGTTTTCATGCTTTTCATACCTCTTTGTAGGTTCCGTGACAAGTAAGTCTGTGGGAGCACTTAATTGTCCAATAAAAGGTGGTTTTTAATCCAATCGAGCACAATTGTAAAAAGTTCGCAACTTTGGCAATGATCTGTTATCGACAATTGTAGATTGGAATTTAGCGGGTTTTGTGAATCGGCGCAATGTCGTCAGTCCGGTGTTCGTTAAGAGACTCCCCCGAAAGGGGGTAAGAACTGTCTTTTATAGCTTTTTGTGGGGAATTTCCACCACGTGATCGGATGTTCATGAGCTAAAGGTTATAGTGTCCCAGGGACCTAAAACAAGTGACGAAATTTGGATGCTAACTATAAACTTTTCTGCAAGATGAGCTGCAAGTTCTGCAGAGAACAATAGATGTTGATAGTTATGACCGGAAGGTTTACACATTCCCGGCTAAGATCGTTTTTTTTTTTCTAATTCATTACATAAACGAAAGTAAATTAATTAAAATTTTAGTTAATAAAAGAGCAGGATTTTCGTTAATAAATTCCAAATCTCACATTCAGTAACAGATCATACCACATGAATGTGGATTGAACTTTAAGTCCTTAATCCTAGTCAATTGCTGTAAGGCAGTTAAAGGAGCTTTTCCTGATTAATAAGCAAGCAAGGACTGTTAGCAACCCATTATCTATCTATATATAAAATCAATGAGACTGTTTCAACAGAACCATCTATTCCAAAAGAGTAAGCAGTGTGAGAACTGTTTTGTTGAAACAGTTTCATAGTTCTGCACTCAGATTGGTTCCAGTTCCAAAGCAAAACTGGGTATTCCACTCTACTATATTCACTTGATAGTCACCTGTTAGCATGCATGATTATCCCAATGGTATTAGTCACTTGGTTATTATGTCATGTAATAACTGATTGACTAATACCAAGCCAAAATTTTAAAAATGGTATATTATTTTATAAATACTCTATTTTTAAATCATTAGTCTTGCATTAATAAATAGATCAAAAGTAATTGAAAGACATGATGGTGATGTAAAAATTATCTTAGATCACATTCTATTTTCACACAACAGTCATGCTTAGCCCGTGTACATCGTGTCTAGTGATAACTGATTGATTAATAATATGTTAAGAATTTTAAAATGGGCTATTATTTTATAAATACTCAATATTTTGAAATAAAACTTTCAAAACAGCAAACAGGAGGCAGTGATCTCGAAAGAACTATTAAATGTATGCAAACTCCTCCTAGATTGTTGAGTAGCTTGAGACACCATTCTCTCTTGTAAATCTAGGCAACAAAATGCCAATTGTATAAGTCCAAAACAATTCAATGGATTTATTCAAAATTTAAGACATCCATGGCACTCACTGTGGATACTAAATATGTTAAATTTTATCTCAATAGGTTCATTGGTTGTGGAGATATTAAGGGGCAAAGTTGGCACTTTAACATTGCATGTGTGGCTGAGCTTTACTATAGAGCACTACCACACTATGATGAGATGTTTAAGTGTTTTTTAAGAAGTCTATGATCTTTTCATACATGTGATATGTTTGGAAAAATCATTGAAACCTGGCAATAAATTGTCAGACCTGGCAACATTGTTCCATTTCCACTATCCAGATAGTGGCTAAAATACAAAAAGCTCGCATCCCTAAAAAGGTAACATTTACATTCGGTTCCATCTGACGACGTGTGACGTTCTATCTAATGTGAAGATCATCTACGATCTTCACATTATCCGAACAAAGTGTTTTAGCCATTTGTTTTTGGATTACGTCAGCTTTAACTACTTGTGACTTGGATAAAGCACACTTTTTACAAATAAAATTGAATAATTATCAAAGTATTTTGGTTAAAATAAGTAACAAAGTTAGCATTAGCCAGTTAATTCTAGTTATTTTGATTCACTGACTTTTAACAGGATAAGATTTTATCAATAATAAAAATTTTAATAATAAATAAATACATAGTTTTCATATTTAATTTTTAATGCAGGTAAATTAATTTTTTTTAGTATTATATACTTGTTATATACAGTACTTGTAGTATATCACGATTATCATAAATAGAAGTCAGTTTGAAAAAATTAGCTTTTTAATTTTAAGTATTACAGTAGAATGTTGTGATGTTAGTACAGTAGAACCTCGATTATCCGCCCCCCGATCAACCGACCCCTCGGTTAACCGACCGTCCTAGTCGGCAAATTTCAAATGTCCGCTAGTGATGTGGCGCTACAATATTTGGCTATGTCTTGGCTACTTTAATATTATTTTTACGTGTTTTAGCTGGCAACACTCATTCGACCATGAAAGGGAGCCAGTATTTAAACGAAGCTTAATTTTCTAATTTTTAACGATACAATAGCGACGATTATTATTTTAAAAAATTTTTGTTAGGCTTAACATCGATGAAAATTCAACGCAAAATAGGTTAATAGCGATATACTAATTACATGGGATATAATAATATACTACACTAATAATGGATTTTTTCATACTTTTCGGTTATCCGACCAACCCCAGTCCCCAATTAGGGCGGATAATCGAGGTTCTACTGTACCTCTTTCTGTAGTGATAAATATCGGGATTTTCTAATAACTTAAAAAATTATAAACTGGTTTGAAACTTACATAGTATGTAGTTTCCATATAAGAATTCTGTCATCCTTTCTTAGACTTACAGCCTGTTAAAGTATACAAAAGTCAGAGGTATTCCAGTCGACAGAGATTGCAGTATATCTTGTATAGGATGTAGCTGGCAAATATTGCCATTTTTTTACCATTAATCTCCCCGTTATTTTTGACATATCAACGTAATAATTTGATTTGTCAAAAATAACGGGAGCTAGTAAGGAAAGGTAATAAGACAGTACCCGGGTAACAATGCATATCATATTTATTGTATAGTAGGTATAACACCGCGTCTGTAGTTACACATTATATACCACTCAATCGTGCTCAGTGATGTCGGACAGAATTAAAAGATTGATAAAGAAAGAAGGTAGTTTGTTGCAGGTGTAATTCTAAATGAGGGGAAAACAATGTTTGAAACAATACTTTCTACACCTGTATACCGGTCAGTATTGTTTTTTTAACGACCACTTAGAAGGTGTGCGTATATGCGGGTGCAAGTTATATGCCACTCTGCACATAACTATTGTATTTAGTTTTATAAAATCATTTTAAAAATAGAAAAGGATTTTTTTAACAGAAAATAATTCTAAGATAAAACATCATCGATACATTTTCTTATATTAATCTCAAATAACTTAATCTAAACTTTGTTTTAAAAATAAACTTAATGTGATTAGTCAAGGGAAACAAGGAACGACTCTTTACATTTTTAATCCGAAGGCAAAAGAGAAAATATCCGACATTATTATTATTATTTAATACCGATTTTTGTTAGCGGGTAATTAAGATGTTTAATTTTATTTGTAGGAAACAGATTATTTTACCGATCGGGGAGAATTTAGAGTGGACGAACACGGTTCTCCGACTTTACTTAATTGCCTGATGTATAAATTAAGCTACTTCAGGTTCGGCGAATTACAGGTAAGTTTTTCCAAGTAGCGTACCCCGCGTTTTTTTATGCAGCGAGAGTGTAGCGAAATGACGTCACGAGCAGTATTGGCCAATTAGAAACCAGTTTCAGTGTGTTCGCTGTAAAGCGCTTCTCGAGAGCTGCATAAAAAAACGCGAGGGTACGGATGGCACTGTTAAACGGTTGTAAATCTAATGTATAAATTTGTTGGACTAGCTGGATTACAGAACTCCTTCGGGATTCGATCGGACACGTAACACGGAAATCGGAAACAAAAATTTTCAGTTGGAACATTTGGAGGAAGCTTACACCACAGAACATTGGCTAGTCCGTATCTACAGAGTGAAGAAAGAGAGCAATCGTCCCCGTATCCCCTATACCGAACGCACCATCAAATCGTCTCGCGTGTTTATATCCAAAAAGGTAGAGTTTATGGATATTAGAGTAAAAACAACTGCATCGATTACCAATTTAAACGAATTTTTGTATTTTTTAGACAAATAAGAGGAGGAAAGGAACAATTAAGAGCAGACCTGTGGTGGTGAAAGGAAAACGCGTGTCCAGAAGTACAAAGAACTGAATTTTTATTAAAGATGTGTGATATTCAGACACGAATAATGGCTCCATATCCCATAATGCCTTGTCCACGGGTCTGGTGCTGTGTTTCCTTCATCACGGTGACGAGTGCCTCACATTGATCGCACTTGTCCTGCCACACCGGACTTGTCCGCCGAGTGCAGACCGCACGCCTACGGACAATCAAAGTTCAGCTCAACTTGAGGCATTTTCACTTAGAAAAATTTGTACAGAAAAACTACGTGTTGTTGCAAGTTCAAGAAAAGTGTTGTTTAAAAAAGAATGCATTTGAATAAACAGACGAGCGAGTCACATTTTTACGTAAAGAAAATTTTAAAAAAATTGGAATCACCGACTCCGGGCGTACGGTTAAGTTTTTTTTTGCAGTAAACGGATTATTTGACATTCCACCGCATCATTACTAAATGAGTTTTTAGGATTTTGTCGTCACATTCCATCCAGGTGGGAAAAACAGGTGCGCATTTTTGCACGGTACGGAGGAAGGGAAACACCTCATTTTACGGACACGCATCTAAGCATTTAAATTCTTTATCGCCGCAGGTAAATCTAGATCCTTCTTTATTCTTTTCAAATTGTTAATATTCGATTTTATGTATTTACACAGAATATCCGCAATAAATTGTCCGTTACATTTTCTGTTTAATCAAAATTAAAACCAAGATGGGAGAATTGGGAATCGTCGACGGTCTGTATGGCTATGCATTGTGGTTAAAAGTACTTGGGATTAAAAAATCTTTTAGTAACATATCAGTTCACTCATCAATTGCAATTTGTACAGGAATGGAAATGGAATAAAAAGATGATATATATATATCTGTAAACCACCGAGTCGGGTGTATTTGTCCCGGGGGAGAAAATGACGTTTCTCCAAAAAATATTTTCGGCCAATTTCCAACGCTTAGAGAATCGGGAGTGGCATTTGCCAACTTTACGCCGCGGCAAAAATGCCGTCCGGTCGCGTTCCATTTCCATAGTCCGCGTTAATATAAAGATGAATGTAATTTTATATTTAGTCACATTTTAAGTTGCGTTTATAATTACCATTAAATTTTTTTTTGTCGCTATGGTTTCGTGTTGCGCCAGTCTCTAACAAATGTAGGCTGACCAGTTTTTGTGCCCGAAATGCATTCTACTTTGATCGCGGTTAATTAAAGGCTAATTTTTGTAAAAATTTAGTCTATTTTGCTCCAGTCATTCCCCGATGCGATAAGCCCTCCAACATAGCCATATTTTTTTCAGGCTAATTAATTTAATCTTAATAATAGGTTGTTAAGACCCAACACACAACCATAGTGACGAAAGAAAAAAAATTAAAAATATAATGGTAATTAGTCACATTTTAAGTTGAATGTAATTTTATATTTAGTCACATTTTAAGTTGCGTTTATAATTACCATTAAATTTTTTTTGTCGCTATGGTTTCGTGTTGCGCCAGTCTCTAACAAATGTAGGCTGACCAGTTTTTGTGCCCGAAATGCATTCTACTTTGATCGCGGTTAATTAAAGGCTAATTTTTGTAAAAATTTAGTCTATTTTGCTCCAGTCATTCCCCGATGCGATAAGCCCTCCAACATAGCCATATTTTTTTAGGCTAATTAATTTAATCTTAATAATAGGTTGTTAAGACCCAACACACAACCATAGTGACGAAAGAAAAAAAAATTAAAAATATAATGGTAATTAGTCACATTTTAAGTTGAATGTAATTTTATATTTATAAATACATCTTTATATTAACGCAGTTATGTTACGAGTAATAGAAAGTCTGGCAGGAAGATACGTATAGTACCTTTCCTACCAGCAAAATTAAATCATTACGAACGGCTGTCGATAAAATATCGCCACGAATAAATCCACTCGTCAAATAATTACGAGCATCGAGTGATTTGTATGCCTTCGTCCGATCCAGTGTGACGGCGTTAGTTGTTAAAACGTAATAATTACGTTCTTTAGTTGGCCACGCGGTTAAATCGTTGGAAAAAAAATCCGTTGGTTTCATTTCGTGTGAATCCCATCCGATAAAATAAGTTTTCTCTTTACATTTTATCAAATTATTACGTTTCAAATCGGCTGCGAAGCGAGGTAAAATCTCTTTCTTTCGCGTTGACGTAATAGTGATGGAGCCAGGTAACGCGAAATCGGCAACCAATATGGCGGACGATTGTTTTGTCGGGCGGAGCGACGACGTTATATCGCGTGACTGCACCCCCTCTATAGTAACATTGTCTACCTAGTTGCCCTTTTATAGCTCGAGTGTTTTAATCGTTATCGACCACTCGCGTACCACCCGTTGAAAATTTTGCTACGCCGGTATTCCCCCAAGATGGCCGGTGGGGTAATCGGCCTCCCCGCGCGAGTAATAATGCCACTGTTTTAGAAATCGGTGGATAAACGACGCGACGAGACTAGCGAAGACTGGATAATCCGAATGGAAGTGATACCGTTACCGTACATTCATTTCTTTGCCGCGGATAGATACTAGACTGACATAATCGTACGGACTAGCCGTCGATGTAACGCAACTTATCGTAAGCTAGAATTGACCCGGAATTAACGAGTGAACGGGTCTGCGTTTCTCGGACGCCGGATCCGACGGCGGAAGCGACGTCATTTCGACGTAGTTCTCGATCCGATTTCGGAAGTAGCCAATTTCCAACTAGTTTTATCTTATAAACTTGGTTGGCGCTATCGTTATTAAATGGGGGAAAACAATTAGGAAAATAGCTAAAGTTCGTTACCGTATTTTGTGGGTAATAAAAATGTTTCTTCCTTTATTCGGTGTTTTGTTACGGAAATGCTATATTGCGCACGCGTGGTTCCCGAGATACGTTTGATTATGGAAATTAGTTTTACGCAGGCACGTTTGAGGTTAAGTTTAGGAATTGTGGGAAATGAAAATGAAACGCATTTCAATTGCTCGGAAAAGACCGGCCAGGTAGGAATCTTACACTTCCAAGGATTTTCGGTTTTTATGTTTATTAATTTAATACGTAAATTTGCGTAAAGACGTTTCACTTTAGCAAAATGCGCTTTTCGGATTCCTTTTTGTCGATAAGGTTTAGTTCGGCCCGTTCCAGAAATTTCTACCGCGGAAACGGGAGAACCGCTTTGGAATCGTCTTAAACGGAAATTTCGGTACAATCGTAGACGGCAATCTTAACGCGCCGTACGGCGTGTCTCTGGGAGCAAAAAAGGAACCGTACCCGTAAATCGGCCTACTTCCGGGCGCTCCGCAAAAAAAATGGCATATAGACGCGGGAGCCCGGGTACCAACCGGAGCGTGGAGAACGGGCGGTAGTACCGTCGGAGGTAACGATCGTTTTCTGTCATTGGAAATTAACGCATTTATTTGTTAAAGGCGCCGGTGGCCCTGCCTATAATATAACGCGCTGGCCGGCCTGGGGTTCCGCGTTTGAAGACAATACCTTCAAAAAGTGAATATTTTTATTTATTAATTTTGTATTTGTGGATGAGATTGGCAATTATCAGTTTCGACCAAATTCTTTAGGTTAAAACCGCGCGAATGGTGGCGTTGGGAGACGGCCGGCGGTACGACTCGAATTAAAAACGCCGAAAAGTGAAGAAAGAAAAACTGCGGAATTTTTATAGTAAAACGTCGCCGTTAAATGTGTTTTCGTTTCGAAGAAATAGTATTTGCGTCGGGCGTTTTCTATAAATTTAAGTTAGTAAAAGTCGTACGATACGAAAGTATTTGATTTAAGTAAGTGGAGCCTCCGATTACATTGTTTAAACAGAAAAGCGGTTAATGTTCAGGGTCGTAGACTGTCGTGGTGGCTCTTCCTGTTTTAGCCTCGAAACCAGACCGCTTTGGAGACGACGTGTCACGTGACGACGCGAGCGAACGGGTAAAACCGACGCGCGGGTTAACGTCCATATACGTAGACTCATGGCGGCTCATCTCTGATTTCGCAAAAAGAAAAGGAAACAGTGGGGACGCACGTTCTAACCTAACCTAACCTAACCTATTCTAATAATTTAATCGGTAATAATTGTGGTAATTTATTAGAATAGGTTAGGTTAGAACGTGCGTCCCCACTGTTTCCTTTCGTTTGCTGGAATCAGCGGTGAGCCGCCAGCGCTGCCGCGGCGCAGCAGCCGCCGCCGTTCGCTCGCGTCGTCACGTGACACGTCGTCTCCAAAGCGGTCTGGTTTCGAGGCTAAAACAGGAAGAGCCGCCATGACAGTCTACGACCCTGAACATTAACCAGAAAAGCTTTTAATTGTGTTAAATGGAGTAGCCGAGAAGCGTGTTAGGAAGTTAAACGGAAGGCTTTATTCCGTCGGAAATTTACTTCACTCGATTTCGGGTAACGAACCGTATAGCGAACGATGATTTCTATACGTTTCGGTAATGGAAATTGGAACTTAAAAGCTGATTTAGAATTTTCAACTAGATGTTGAAGAGGGAATTTAAGTCGCGCTGGATAAATAACCATCGTAAATATCGGATAATCGAATAAATTATTTTAAACAGAAAATACCGGCGTTTTTATTGGAGTTTCACGAAACGACATTTCTTTGCTTGCTCGGTATTTACGGTTTTAACATTCATTTTATGAGAGAAGTTATTTGGTCAAAAATAGCCACGCTTAAGCGCTAATTTTCGTCGTAACCGATTTGGTTTTTCCAACAAACCGAACGCCGGTCGGAGACGGTATTAATTAATTGCGTATTTAATTAATGCGGTACCGTTAATTAGTCGGGCGATTACGTCCCGGGCGTTAATAGCTATTCTTTCCGTCGCCCGCTGATTTATTTCGGATAATCGGGATATTTTAAAACTGAAGCGGGCGGTACTTTATACCGTGCGTAAATGAAACCGGTTGTAGGTGGAGGTAAAGTTATAATTAAAACGTTCTAACGAAACAAAAAAGATGGTTTGCCGACATCTTAGTTTGGCGCCGCGGGAATCGTTTACGTAACTAATTTCAAACGATTTATATTTCGGGCCGACCGGAAGGATTTCCCGAATTGTCCGAATTAGTGCGTAAGAAACGTGTAAAACGGTGGTCGGTATTTCACCTCAAACTCGTTTATTGGAGCGAATGATTCCCATCGTGCTGGAGTCCTACCAAACGATTTAATTTTGCAGAAATCGACATCGACACCTTTATCGGAATTTTTTCTTCTCGCACCGGACGATACATTTTTCGGTTAAATATTCAAAGAATACCGTTTACCGGTTGTACCGAATAACTACGAATCGTTGTAAGACTATTCCAAGACTTCCTTTACTAAGCCATCTAACTTCGGAATGTAACGATATTCGTCAGTGAGTTTACGAATAATCTGCTCCGAAA